GATAAGTGCACCTGTGACAGCAAGTGCACACATCTGTGAATACGAGAGCGCACATTTCCACCACACCTGCATGCGCCTGGCACGCTAACAAGCAGATGCGAATGAGCAACCGCTGCCTGGGGTACAGCGCCATTGCACACACGCAAGGCAAAAGTGTGTGTGCTAGTTCACGCGTGCGCACACCAGTGCCATCCACACCTGCTTGCCCCAAAGCCATGCACCAGCCTGCTCACCTGTTGCATGTCGTAGTACTCCCCAGCCCTGTCGGCCTCCACGTCTAGCAGGACCCGGCCCTCTGCACTGAGCTGCTCCAGCGGCCAGTCCTTGAGCGCCTGCACGTGCTGCAGGACATCCTCGTCAGCCTCCAGCAGCAGGAGCTTGGCCCACCTGCCTCTCAGGGAACGGGCACAGACACAGGGATTTGGCAGTGACGGCAACAGAGCGCGCTGCCACGGGGCCGCCCCCGTGCCGGCAGATGCACGTGCTGCGCCCGGATGGCAGATGGAATAGGACAAGACGTCAGGCCGTATCAGACGTGGCAAAATGAGTCACGACAAAGTAGCTAGCTGCTGCCATTCTGAGGCTGATTCCTCCAGCTGCCCCACCTTCTTATGTAGGCCTTGATGGCTTTGACCTTCTCATCATCAATGTCCTTGGCAGCCTTGGTTGACCGGGATTGACTCTGGCCACTGGCCGGCCGGCTGGCAGCCACAGGGCGACATCGCTACACCAGCGACACCATTTCGCGAAACTTGTTGTTCCATCAATGGGTTAATAGGGCAGCGCAAACGAGATGGGACGAGGCAGTGGCATTTGCATGTTTTGTCACCTGTCGAGTCAACGGCCCAATGGCAAGTGTTGCGTTTGCAATTGCACAGCAGCTGATGCGCAAGAACCAGAACATGCACAAACAATGATACATAATGAAGTTGGCTGGCCCAGCCACAGCCCGTGCGAGACAACGCGTGCTGTTAGTGTCGGAACCCTGATCTTGATGGGGAGCAATTCAGACCTTTTCCATCATGCCCTCGGAGTACTTGTCGATGTCGCCTGCCGCCCTCGTGACGATCGGCTTGCGTATCTGGCGGGCCGTGCTTAGTCTGCTGTGAGGTAGTATGCGCCCTGGTCGACAAGCAAGGGCGTGGTTGTACGTGAGCCAGCCAGCCAACACTTGTTTGGACGAGAGTTTTTCCACTGTCACCTGCTGCTGCCGGTGGCGTGCAGAGGGCGAGAGCGGGCCTCGTGCGAACAGCGGCATCGTGACGAGGCTGCTGCCAAGGGCACGCAAGGGTGCGGGGGGCGCCGAGCAGCATCGGGCGCTGCCGTTGTCTGCGATCAAATGCAACATTCAGCACAATTGTCGCTGCAATGGTGCTCACGGCTTTTGGTGGTTCTGTCAACGTACCTGAGTACTGTACCCGTGCTTGCCACGGGTGTCCGGGTGACGGACGGACTTCATCCCTTATGCGTCGGGTCGTTTGAAATGCTGAAAATGAGATATTATTTGACCATCATCTGAAGGCGGGTGCTGGGCCGACAAGACAGGGTGGGTCATCCCACAAGTGCAACTGCTTGTGCTACGTCGTTGCAACTGAGGAACCCTGAAACCCAACCCACGGGCAATTTCGTGTAGTTGCAAGCTTACAAAACATATCAGAACGCAGATGTTACCCCAGTTTATTCACACCAGCTGCTCCTCCATGCACCTCTTGGCTTCCCGTGCCTTGGTGCCACGGGCGGCCTCGCGCCGCGCCTGCTCGGCCTTGCAGAACGCCTTGTGGCCTGGCCACGAGCGCTTGAAGCAGGCGTCAGAGCAGAAGCGCGCGGAGCGGCAGCCCCCGCACAGGTGCATGCGCACGCCGCCAGGCTGCGCCGCTTGCGCGCAGCCAGCACACCGGCCAAGTGCAGTGTCCCCGGAGGAGGTGCTGGCCGTGGGGCATGTTATTGCTGCTGCTGCTGCTGCTGCTGCTGCTGATGATGATGATGATGATGATGATGACGAATATGATGATCTTGGTGATGATGGTGCTTCCGCAGCCACTGATTCTGGTGCTGCTGCCAATGCAGCTGCTTCTACTCTTGCTTCTGAGGCATCCTCCTCCTGCTGTTGCTGCTGCTGCTGCTCCTGGCCCTGCTGCTGCTGCTGCTGCTGCTGCTGCTGCTGCTGCTGCTGCTGCTGCCCCTGCTGCTGCTGCTCCTGCCCCTGCTCCTGCTGCTGCCGCTGCTGCTGCTGCTGCGGCCGCCGCTGCTGCTGCTGGTCAAGCTCCTGCTGTTGGTCCTGCTGCTGTTTGTCGTCCTCCACTTCCCGAGGCTTCTCCATGCCATGCTTCCACGCCTCAGTCATGCGCAGCTCCTCCAACGCAGCCGATGTCACCGCCATGAAAGCGACTGCTGCTGCACACCCGCTGCTTCCGCCACTGCCGCCCTTGCAAGCACAGCCCTGCTTTGCATGATGAAGCAGCATTACAAGCGCCATGGCGGCGCGCGCCACGTGCTGTATGCTGGCTGGTGCGGCTGCGGCTGCGGCGTTGGCAGCAGCCAATTTATCATCAGGGCGACCTGCGGGCCACTCCGCTGCTGCCCACGCAGCCACACCCTCCAGCAGCAGCACAGCGCCCTCCTGCTGTGTGGCGTTCCTTTTGGGGCTGGCAAAAACCCGTGCAGCGGCGGTCACGGTGCAGGCAGGCTCGAACGACTCCACGAGGAGCAGCGCTGCAGCGGCGCCGGCGCCGTTTGGCGCGGCCAGCTCCTGCCATGCAGAATGCACCAGCTCAAGCTCTTGGTCGAGCTGCTGCTCATGCTGCTGCAGCTGCTGCTGCTGCTGCTGCTGCTGCTGCTGCTGCACCTCCTGCTGCTGGAGGTGCTGCGGTTGCTGTAGACGGGTGATGCGCACCACTGTGCCCAGCCCTGCTGCCGGCAGCCGCCCATACGACAATGCCACCTGTGCCGCCGCCACCCACACGCGTGCATAGTCAGCCAGGGGCGCGCGTCCCTGTCGCTGCAGCGCATGGGCGAGCGAAGCGCAAGCATTCAAGCTGCGGAGTGTCTCAACGAAGCCGCTGCTGCCGACGACTTCATTCCTGCCGCTGATACTGCTGCTGCCGCCGCTGCTCCGAATGCCGTCGCCGCTGCTGTTGCTGCTGCTAGTGCCGGCACCCGCACGCATGCATCCCATGCGCTCCATCTTGGCCACCAAGACCACGACTTGGCACACAGTCATGATCAACACATCTGTGTTCGCCTCTTCCGGAGCATCCACGGCGCAGCGCAGGCCCACCGCCAGCGCAGCCGCCGCGTGCCGAAACGGCGCGATGCCGCGCTGCCGAGGCTGCCAGCTCGCCACCGATGCGACCACTGCGCCCCGCTGGCCAGCGTCGCTTGCCGCAGCAGCGGCCGCCGCGGCGGCGGCGGCGTCCTCGGCGGCAGCAGTACTGTGCTCCCACTCCGCGATTTGATGCAGGCACCTTGCCGCGACGATAGGCGCGTGAGTCGCCGCCAGCAAGCTCTCGCCGCGGGCTCGAGCCGCCCTCACGGCGGTGCCGCAGCCCGCGACGATCGCCAGCATATTCTGGACCAGCTCGCCGCCGCACGCCGCGACGACGTTGGCGCAGCCGGCAGCCGGTGGGAGAAGGCAATCCGATACGACCGCAAGAGCCACCCGTCGGACCGCCCCAGAATCTGTGCGCCCCAGCGCCTGCGCCAGCGGCGGGAAGCACCGCGGCGCTCGCGCGCGCAGCTCCCGCACGAGGCCGACCCGGCTGGCGCGCCCTGACCCCGGGCACCAGATGCACTCGGATGACTTCAGCGCATTGGCAGCCGCGTCGCCCCCCTGCTCCAGGAGCACGCAAAGGCAGTCTGCGACGCCTGCGGCTGAGTCTGCCAGGGCGCGCTCCCACGCCGCGTGGGCGGCCGCTTGTTGCGGGGCCTGCGGCGCCGGCGACGCGCTTGACGTGGCGAAGGGCGCCGAGAGCAGGGCGATGCATAGCAGCAACTCGCTGGGCCGGGGGGCCCCGGGCGCGCCGCGCTCCCCAGGGGCCAGGCGCGCGCGCCGCAGCATCGCCGGAAGCAACCCGGGCGTCACAGCGGCCGCAGCGGCGGCCGGGGAGCACAGCGCATCATCGCCGGGCGGTGTGGTGCACAAGAAGCGCAGCAGCATGAGCAGGGCGACGATCCGCGCCTTGCGCTCGATGCAGCCGCCGCCGTCGTCGCTGCCGCCGGGGTCAAGGCCGTCGCCGCTTACCAGCAGCGCCTCGCGGTCGGCCCTGACGATCGCTGCGGCGACGGCACGGCCGCACTCTGCTGTCTTGAGGTGGTGCAGCAGCGGCCCGCTTTCCCCCCAGGCCATGTCGGCCAGCGTCATGAGGACCGTTATTTCTCCATGGGTGCGGCCGTCTACGCGGCTGCTGCTCCCGCCCCTGCTGCTGCTGCCGCGGCCGCTGCTCACGTCACTGCCAGTGCCTGCCCGCTCCTTGCACCATGAGGCATTCAGCAGTTGCACGAGGCCACGCGGCTGCAGGTCGCTGGCATGCACTCTGTGAGAATCGAATTTGCGTGTGATGATGTCTACTTTCCGTTCGTCTCCCCGCGTTAGGGCCCGCGCAAGGGCGCTTAGAGTGTCCATCAGGCGCGGTTCGACATCTATTTGAACATGGTTCGTTCGATTGATTGCGGACTAGACGATCGCCCCGCGCACGAGATGGTATCGCTAGTCGAGGTCAGTGACCTAGATCCGAAATTGATCTGAAGGGTTGGCGGGAGCGCGGGCCACTGCAGATGCTTTATCATTCAGACGTCTCAGCGTGGCACTGACCCCACTCGCTCTTGTGCGCTCTGCTGCTGGCTACACACTTTGCTTTCTTGAAGTGGCCGCCATCGGCGCCTGGGGGTTGCAGTACGGGGGCCCGCATGGTGAGACCACGTGCGACAGCACCAACGTGTGAACAAGAGTGTTTCGCATCTCAAAAATCAATGTCCAAAGCTACGCACGTATGCAGCCCGGCGGCAAACACAGTTGATCGGCGCACCCGTTCGCCGATCGCGAGTCCCACGCCTTTCACAAAGGGGCGCGACGGCAAATCAAGCTGGTGTAAAGTTCACAAGCTGACAAGCTCGAAAATACAGGGAAACACCGCTGAGACCCTGCACGCTCTGCTCAGCAGCAGCGGCCATGGTTGTAGCAGTCCTGCTGAGGCTTACTTGTCTCGCCCTTCTGTGCAACCCACGGCCTGGACTATGCGGACTGCTTCGCCTGGTGGCGCTGATATTGGGGTCAGAAACCTGGGAGGTGGGGGGGGAGCACGAGCTAGCAAAATCCCCAACAGTGCGTGTTTGTGTGCGGTTGCTGTTGCACCAGCACCTGTCGCTCGGGGGCTGCGGAAACGCAGGCAGCGCCACTCCTGCAAACGGGCATCATCACCATGCTGGATACAGGCAGCAGGTCGAGTGCTATGCATTGAACGCGTGAGCGGCGCGCTGTTGGTCAACCCGTCTCCCTGGACACAAAGCCTGCGTGCGCGGCAAGCGTGGCCTCCCAGTCATATGTTGTGCCGTACTCTGAGGGCTGATGAAAGGGGCTGTCGTCCGTTGACATTTGCATTGAAGCGGCCCCCTGGTGCATGCAGATCTCGAGCAGAGGTGCAGCCAACTGCACACCAGGAGACCGCTGTGGCACCTGGATGGCTAGGGGCTGGAAACCAACCCCACACGTGTACTCTACAGCACCGCACGCATCTCCAGCACACCTTGGGTACCGCAGTACAAATATACATGCACCACTCCAAATTCTCAGCACGTCGATGTTTACAGATCGCTGTTTGAGAGAAATCGGACCTCTACAGTAGGAGGTGTAGGGGCCAAAACCGATGCTCCAACGTGGGTTACCGTCGCCCTATATCACCAGTCTGCCGGCTCATATCAGCCCTGGCTCGGGGCTGAGTACGGTACCCGGCCGATGCTGCACACCCCGGCGGGGCTGGAGCTCTGCAGCACCCCCGACCCCGTTGACTATGCCTGCACACCCCGACCTGCGCGCTCTCCCGCTCGTATGCTCACCCCCCCTCCCGTGAAACAGACCAAGCAGCTGCCATGCCGGTAACTGATGAAGCCTGGCCCGAACTAGGCAGCCAGCAGCAGCCACGTGCGGCGCACCCACCCGCCGCGCGCAAAGTGCAGCACCAGCAGTCGCTATTGCTGCAGCTATCAGAGGAGCTGCTGTCGCACGTACTATCCTTCCTATCCGGCAACCGCCTCGCCCGAAACCCGCTGCGCCAAACCTGCCGCGCGCTGCGCCGCGCCGCTGACGCCGCCGCCGTTGGTGCGACGCTGCCGGCCGCCGACGCCGAGAGCGCGCGGGGGTTTGCAGAGGGGGTGGCGGCGGCGCGGTGGCCGGGGCTGCGGCGAATTGCATTGCAGGGCGCCGGTTTGGGTGCGGAGGATGACGAGGCGATGCTGCAGGTGCTGGCGGCGGCGGCAGGGTGAGCGCACCGGACGAAGGGGATAACAACAGCCCGATGGCAGCTCGTGTTCACACCTGCCCGGCGATGCACGCCTCAGATCTGTCCACGCTGCCGGCTGCGTCGCTGGCGCAGCCAGAGCTGCTGCCCCGCCCCGGCCAGCCGCGCCGCGCCCCTCTCATTAGCGCCGCCCGTCTCGCGCCTCGTGCCCCTGCCACCCCCTGCAGCAACTGCCCCTCCCTGTCGAGCCTGTCGGCCCGGCTCAGCTTCGCCCCCGCCTGCGCGTACCTGGCCGCCTGCCTGGCCACCTGCCGCCTCATGGGGCGCCTCGCCAACCTCTCCTCCCTCACGCTGCGCTGCCCCGACAAGCGGCCCGCGCTGCTGGCGCCGCTGCGCCAGCTGGCGTCGCTGACGGCCCTGACCTTTGAGGGCGCGGCCGACCCGGCCAGCGGCGCGTGGCTGCCCGGCGGCCTCCGGCGGCTGTCAATTGGGGCCGGCGGGCCGCGCGGGCTGCCCGCCGTCGGGCACGCGTGGCTCAAGGCAGTGCTCGCGTGCACGGGCCTAGAGAGCCTGCGGCTGAATGTGATGAGGGGGCGGGACCTGAGGCTTAACACTGGGCCGTTGGGGGTGCCCCCTTTCGCGGAGGACGCGTTTTATGAAGCCATCGGGAAGGTGCGGGGTTGGCAAGGGTTTGGTTGGGGGAAGGTTTTGCTGGATTGGGCCAGGGGCCGTTCAAGGGCGCTCGCGAGGTTGTGGGCGCCCGATGCCCATCGCATGCAGTGAAATGCATCAAAGCCCCTCGCTGGCTCACTCGATGGTCGGCGCACTTGGTGGTGCGTGCGTGTCAGTGCGTGCACGTTCACATGCTCGCTCACTCGAATGGGCTCAAGCGGGCGCGCACACATTCGCGCACACACACACACACACACACACACACACACTCTTCAAAAGCAGCTGACCCGCCTCACGGAGCTCACGGGGCTGCTGATACGCCCGGCCGCTGACCTGGAGGATGGCGCGATCTTTGAGGACGAGCCTGACGATGCGTCACACCACCTGGATCAGTACAGTGAGAACTTCACGCCCCCCTGGCCGCAACCCTCCCGCGCGACCTGGGAGCGAGGCCTCTGTAGGCGGGGGCTTGCAGCCTCTCCTCTGTCGCATGCCGTGTTCGGCACCGTGCGCGTGGGGGGAGCCTGCAGGGGACGGAGGGCTGCAAATGCAGCTGCGTTTGCAACGGCATTCGGATGTTTCTGGTCCCCTCGCTCTTGGCCATCCCACCTC